GTGATGCAACTGAAAAACCCTACGATTTTGTATAGTTGATAGTTGAAAAGGTTATATAACTTATGTTTTGTGATTCAACAAAAAAAGATCTTACGTTTTGTGTAGTTCATAGTTGAAAAGCGACCTTCCGATTAGTAGCGGAGTCAAAAGATAGAAATAGGTGTATCCTTTTATATGATATAAAGTATAGGATTTTGCTACGGTGACATGCATGTCACGGTGACATGCACTTTTCGGTCGACCTCATATAGGATCAGGTCGACCTAATCTGTTGTTTCAGTGTAAAAACAGTTTCATGGTGCCTACTTTGGAGATTCATATCTTACAATTGGCTAGATGGAAATTGGTGATTAAAGGCTTGTTTTGAAGCTGAAGTGTCCCTCTACACATTAAAGTACTTGGGAGCTCAATAGAAAGTCCAGAAGACCATTTTTGAACCTGACCAAAAGGCTATGCCAAAACTGGGAAACTGCCTGAAAATGGCTAAGTCTGGCAACGTGTTTGTCAAGCCTACTTTGGAGCTCAATTTGAGAAGCATGGATGTGAGTCAAGTCCAGGGGCCTCTACCACGTTAAATTACGTATTTTTTATACAAAGGCAATGAATTGGATGAAAGATTGAATATCTTTAAGGCTTCAAACAAAAGGCTCGAAGTTGCTACGAAGGCTATTTTCTGGCAGCTTGCTTGTGCTCGAAGTCTGCCAGAAAAACAGCCTTCGTAGCAACTTCGACCCTTTTGTTTGAAGCCTTAAAGATATCCAATCTTTCATCCAATGCCTTGAATTTGTATAAAAACATACCTAATTTAATGTGGTAGAGGCTCCTGGACTCTACTCGCATTCATGCTTCTCGAATTGAGCTACAAAATAGGCTTCACAAACACGTTTCCAGACTTAGCCATTTCTAGGCAGCTTCCCAGTTTTGGCATAGCCTTTTGATGAGGTTCAAAAATGGTCTTCTGGACTTCCTATCGAGCTCTCAATCACTTCAATATGTAGAGGGACACTCCTGCTTCAAAACAAGTCATTAGTCTTCAATTTCCATCAAGCCAATTGTATGATATGAATATCCAAAGTAGGCACCATGAATTGTTTTTACACTGAAACAACAGATTAGGTCGACTTGATCCTATATGAGGTCGACCGAATCCTAAATGAGGTCGACCAGATCCTATATGAGGTCGACCGAATTCTAAATGAGGTCGACCTAATCCTAACTGAGGTCGACCGGAAAGTGCAAGTCACCGTGACATGCATGTCACATTAGGCACACCCTAAAGTATATGAATAAATATTTTTTAAAAATTAATATTCAAGTAATTCGTAAAAGAAAAAAAAAACATATTAATACAAGCTTCCTTTAGTATAAACAACGTATTTTATATCCAAAATGAATTGTAAGAAATTATTTGTTTTTTATATGCTTAAGTAATGTATCTAACATTCCTAGCGGAAGGATTTTTCTATATACTTAGTAGAATAAAATAAACTACGGATTAGAAAATTGAGGGTTTTCACTTTTCGTTGTTACCTTATTCATAGTGTTATTTAATTATATATTACTATAGTGATAGAAAGTTGAATTTCATAAGAAAGGAATCTTGAATTATTAACCTATTCATATAATATACCAACATATATATGAAACCATTTTTATTCTTCCCTCCAGAGCTCTTATAAAGGACAATGGTTTGAATTCTTGACTTAGGCTTTCATTGAGTTTCATAGTGTTAGAGTGTGGTATAAGATCTAGCATAACCTTTTCCCAACAACTCGGGTTATTGGGACCAACTGGTTTATGACATGGTATCAGAGCTGGTTTGGTCAAGTGGTCGTGTGTTCGAATCTCCACGACCCCCAATATTAACAGTTGATTAAAGCACAAGGTATGGTGGGCCTGTGCAAACTTCAAGCTCGTGGGTTGGCTTTCGTTTGAGGAGGCGTGTTAGAGTGTGATATAAGATCCAGCATAACCTTCTCCCAACAACTCGAGTTATTGGGACCAACTGGTTTATGACATTATATAGGAGTTTTAGGAATAGTGGTGTGTATTATTATGAAACCACAAAGGGGTTTATATAGATTACAAGACTTGGACAATAAGTAAGAGAACCACAATACTAAAAGGACACGGTAATACTAAGAACTATACTATAAGGACAAGGAAATATAAGATTATTCATAATCTATCTCTAACACGCCCCCGCAAGATGATGGTGTGAAGAACAACATCAATCTTGACCAAAATATGCCAATCTTGAAGAACACGCAATGTGATGGTGTATAATGTGCTGCAAACTCGTCGAACTCTCATACTTGAAGAGTGAAGCCAACTAACCGTCGTCTTGGAGAAGAAGAAATCATCAAACTTGCAATTCATACGTTGCAACGAAACTCACTCGTCGTCAAAAATTGACCGGAAACGAGATGAACAATAATCAATTGGTTTTAACGATACCAATAAACGTAAACTGGTGTAGGACACGAGGCATTCATCCGAATGACCGTTGTCGGAGAAGCTTTCTTCGTTCCATACACGTGAAGAAGAGATGGTTGGAGGATGACCGTGGCTCCGCCATATAATTCTGCAACAATCTGAAAATATAAGAACGATAACATCGGCTATAAAAACCGGATCTTGATCTCCAAGGACAATGCGACAGTGGTCAATCGTCAGAGCACAAAACAACTATCAGAATCTGCAACGAAAAATAACGAAGATGACATGGAATAAAGGAATGCTTTTGGGACAGTGGAAATTGAAGCTTCAACTGTTATGCTGGGGACGAGAGGCGTAGAGGAAGATTTGGGAAAAGGGGATTTTATTTATTAGTTTTATTTGGTTGAATGAAACGAAGACCTAGTAAAATAAAGTAGAAGGGAAGAATAATAATATGAATAGGGATGCAGTGGTTACGCTGCGGTCGGAAGAGGACCGAGTGAGTGAGGGATCATCCTGCCGACGAAAGAAAACAAGGTTTTAGGGTTCTTGGATCAACATTGTTAAGCAATAGGCTCTGATACCATACAGGAGTTTTAGGAATAATAGTGTGTATTATTATGAAACCACAAAGGGGTTTATATAGATTACAAGACTTGGACAATAAGTAAGAGAACCACAATACTAAAAGGACACAATAATACTAAAAACTATACTATAAGGACAAGGAAATATAAGATTATTCATAATCTATCTCTAACACATAGCTCTACTTGAGTGGCTTGGATCTTAGATGCATCCGTTCATGTATTCGTATTTATATTTACATCTCCAAAAATAACCTTTCCCCCTCCCCTGGTTGGACATAATTTAAGTGAACAAACCACAACGATAAGACAAATCTCTCATCATCACTTCTAATTCTAATTGCATTTGGTTATTAGTAAGACAAAAACCTCAATTTCTATGGAAGAAGTTTCACCAGATCGATCATCCCTTTTGTTCTTGAATCATCCAATAAGCCTTCCACAAAATAAAAGTTTTTTAAAAAAGTCATCCAATAAGTGGTTTATGGCTTAGTTTGACCCTGCGGTAGTTTTTGTAGAAACAGCTTCTGACTTGAGCTTTTAGAAAGGTATTTTTCAAAAAAAGCAGTTGAGTGTTTGGTTGAAAATTTATTACAAGTGCTTTTTAATATGAGAGGTTGTGTAAAATTACTGTAAAGTACTTATAATATAAATTATGAATAATAATTATAAACAATAAAATGTAGTCAAATGGATCTGACTTCTTTTATATTTTATAATATAATTTTATACTTTATTTTATTTTTAAAATGATATAAATGAAAAAAAATATTTTCTGAAATATAATTAAAATATGGTAAGGATAATCTTGTATTTTCAAAACAACTTTTCGTAGAAGCTCCGAATACTTTTATGTTATACAAAAACATTTTTCTGCTCAAGAGCCAAACTTTTAAAGGTGTTTGGCCATATTTTATTTTTTTAAAGCGAAAAACATTTCTAAAATCTGGACAAATATAAGCTATGTTACCTTCGTCGGTTTTGGTGATCTTTCTATTAGTTTCAGCCCACAGGCCCAGTTGATGGAACAAAGTACAAACGCTAGAAATTGGATAGGCTGTTTGGACAACATGACCCTTCGACAATCCCCGGTTTGTCAAAAAAAAAAAAAGACAATCGCCGGCCTGCTACAAATCCGAAGTAGACTCACTATTCAATAAGATATACACACCTGAGGAAGAACAGGGATAATAATCGTAGACTACAAATTCGCCGTTAACCACATACTGTAATCAACTAAAGTGTTTATCTTGATAATATAGACTAATAGGTCCTTTATGTCACAAATTCAAAGGGACTACAAATTCGCCATTAACCACATACTGTAATCAACTAAAGTGTTTATCTTGATAATATAGACTAATAGGTCCTTTATGTCACAAATTCAAAGGGAGTCCACAACGATGTCACGTGAAACAAATCGAAGCTAACACCTGCAGAAGTATTTACAAAATTCAACACATTATACTAAAAAATCTACACCATAAGAAATTAATATCACGTCTTTGTAAAATGTTCTTTTAGTGAGACTTACAAGTTATAAATGTTTTGATCGACACCATTAATCGACCCATTTTGAAACTATAAATTCGAACTAAATATATGGAGAAGTGAAGATCCCAAATGTCACACAACCATGTCCATATATCCATAATCCATATGGTGAATTTGTGGGAAAGAAATGAGAAGTCCTGATGGCAGAAAGCTTGTCTGAATTTTGGGATTTTCTTTGAGAAACTCACAGCCAATGACATCTCCCTTCCAGGTTTCAAAGTTGGAGTCACTTACTCCTTCAATGACACCGTTCGCTCTGCTGCTCGACACCTAGCGCGTTCTCGTCCGTCCCACACAGCACCTGCTGATCAACATGCTTTCGGATGTCCAATTTGTGCAGGAGTTCGTGAAGGTGAACCCAGGGAGGCTTAGAAGTACGTTTGATGCATTTGCAGGAGGGTTGAAGAAGATGGGAATCGAATGCGCAGAGAGCAATGGTGGGTTCTTGTGCTGGGTTGGTTGAACAGTGAGAAAGGGGAACTAGAGCTTTGGGACAAGTTGTTGAACACAGGGAAGGTCAGTGTAACTCCTGGATCATGTTGCCATTGTATTGAACTTGGATGGTTCAGATTCTGTTTTGCTAGCTTGACTGAGAGAGAGATTCCTGCTGTTCTCGAGAGAATATGAGGTGTTGCTGAATCGTGTAAATCTCAAAGTTGAAGAAATTTCTGATTTTGCTGAACAGAAATGTTTAGGCCATCGCAGTATAGGGGTTTTTCAGGGTAGGTAGGAACAACTTATTGGAGCATGTACCATAGCAGAAGAAGAAGCAAATTAAGGGTTATTTACTTATTTTTATAACAGAACTACGGAAGTGTGTGATAGGTTAGTTTCATTTTGGTAATCAAAATGTTATCCATTTGTGAATTGTTTTCAAATATATTGGACTACCATGATATATAAAACGAATCATTTTATTTGCAATAAGTTACCGCCATAAACAACTTGATCCTTTTCAAGTTCAAAAAATGGATACCAAAGAATGAATTTCCATCTCCCCCTCTCCTTCCCCTAACACAACACCTTTCATCTACACAAAAACCAACCAAAGCCACTAAGAAAACCCATAACAAAATAAAGAGACATTGCAATCTTACTATGACGATTCCCCTCCATTTCTGATCGATTCAAGCACTTGAACAACCTCAACCATGCTGGGTCTCCTCGAAGGAGCTTCCGAAGTACAAATCAACCCGAGTTTCATAACCTGAATCACTTCATTCTCCGGGAAATCTCTCAGATTCCTGTCGAAACAATCAGAAGCAGGGCCATTTTCCAACACCCTTTGAACATAATCACGCAAACCCATCACCTGGTTCGACAACGACAACACCGGTGTCTTCCCTGTAACCAGCTCCAACAAAATCACTCCAAAACTATACACATCAACTTTCTCATTCACTCTAAGACTCTGAACCAGCTCTGGTGCCATGTACCCTGCAGCACTGTGGCTGGTCGAACCATCAGGATCTAAAATTGGTAGCAACTTCCCCAACCCGTAATCTGACAGCTTGGCCTCGTAGCTTTCATCCAAGAGTATGTTGGTGGCTTTGATGCTGAAGTGGAGAATTGGTGGCTTGCAATCATGGTGAAGATAGGAGAGAGCTCTTGCCGCTCCCAGTGCGATCTGGAACCTTCTAGACCAGTAATGGAGCTCAGCATTGCCAACAGCTGCAGTACTTGTACTAGGAAATTCAGGGGAGCCATGTAAATTGTGGTCTAAGCTTCCATTTGGATAGAACTCGGTGAACATTAACCTCATTGACGATGACCAGTAATAGCCCTGGAAAGAAACCAGGTTGGGATGTCTTAGGTTGGCCAATGGTCCAATTTCGTGCTCAAACTCATCTAGGGTCTTTATCCTGCCCAAATACTGAAGCTTTTTCACAGCGATCGCAACCCCAGCTGTAAAATTTCTCCTGTAGACCGGACCTAGAGATCCACGTCCTAACAAGAATTCCTTATCGAATATAGTTCTGGTGGCTTTCCACCAATCCTCATACTTCGCAGGCAGACTCTTGCTGTATAGAACCAGCTTCCCTATTTTGACGTGTGAATCAGTGGAACTTGAACCAGGTGGCGTGCTCTCAACAACTACCACTTCATCTCTGCCCCGTGCTCTGATGTTCATGATGGATACCATACAAACACCAAGAAGGATGAGAGATGCAGCGATTATTGCTACAATGACCGAAGTACTCAGCACCTTGCTTTTTCTCCTTGCTGCAGGTGGTGTTGCTGTTCCAGTGCATGGATTCTGCAATGGAGGACCACAAAGGTCGGAGTTGTTGAGGAATGGAGATGGTCCAAATGCCTGGAGTGTTGGTGCTGAAGGGATTTGGCCAGAAAGGGTGTTGGAAGATAGATTTAGGCGTGTTAGATTTGATAAGTTTCCGAGAGAAGGAGGTATTGAGCCAGAAAGGTCGTTCTTGGATAAGTCAAGGAGTTTCAGCATTGAGAAGTTGCCAAAAGATGAGGGTATGCTGCCATTAAAATGGTTTCCGTGTAGATCAAGGACTTCCAAGGAAGTTATGTTGGAAAGTGTGTCAGGAATTTGTCCATCTAAGGAGTTACCAGAGACATCCCTGCATGACGTAAATAAGAGAAGTGGTTAGAAACTTAGACAATGATGGTAACTTTAACAACCATTTCAAGCTTGCACTAGATACTCACAGATCTCGAAGAAATTTGCAATTGCTTATGTCTTGAGGAATTTGACCAACGAGGTTGAGATTGTGGAGATCCAAAACCAGAAGCAACTCAATGGATCCAAAACCTGTAGGAATGGTTCCAGCTATAGAATTGTTCCCCAGATTGAAAACCAAAAGCTTTGTCAGTTGTGTAATCTGGACTGGAATTCCTCCACTGAGCCTGTTGAATCCCACATCAAAAAGCAAAAGATTTCTGCAGTTTGCTACGTTTGGTGGTATCTCCCCATCAAAGCCATTCCCTGAGGCATCAAGGATTTCTAGACTCTCGCTGCAGGTTTGAAACTTGGGAATCTCACCACGAAAACCATTTTGAGACACATTGAAATAAGTCATGTTCTGCAATCCAATAACCCCGAATGGAGCCAAACCAGTGAAGCCATTGCTGCCAAGATCCAAAAAACTCAATCTCTGGCATGTTTCAATCTCCTCTTGTACAATCCCAGTTAGCACATTGCTTCTCACAGACATGTACTGTAGCAAAGGAATATCACAGATTCTAGGAGGCATTTCGCCACTAAGATTGTTGAATGAGAAATCGAACCCCTCGAGATTTACACAATTCACAATGGAGAGAGGGATTAAACCAGAAAGGGTGTTGTGAGCAAAAGAGACAAACTTGGTTCTGAAGCAAAACTTAAACAAAGCTGATGGTATCTGTCCAAAAAACTGGTTCCTTGACAAGTCAAGAAACCGAATGTTTGGCAGATCCCCAATGAATTCCGGGATTGACCCAGATAAAGCATTGGAGCTCAAGTTAATCTTCCATAATGTACTTAGTTCTGAATACTCCTGAGGGATACTCCCAGTAAACTGGTTGCCATACAATGTCAAGATTCTCAGAGATCTCAAACCTGATAATCCTGGTGACAGAACTCCAGACAGGGAAGTGTTCCAAAGAACAATCCTCTCCACTAGTCCAACTGAGTTGCAGAAAACGCCACTGAATTCACAAGGGTTGCCGCTGGGAACCCAGGTGGCCAAGCTGCTGTAAGGGTCATTAGTGATGTTTCCCCTAAACTGCAGCAAGATGTCCTTCTCTGTAGTAACTGACTGAGAAACCGTTTCCAACGCAGTAAACCCAAGGAGGCAAGCCGTTAGGAGCAAAAGAGCATGAGGGAGACAGAACTGGCAAAATCTTCTCCTCATGCTCACTGTGGAAAATGTAGACAAAATTGGATCTCTAACCGTTTGGCATTATTGACAAAACAACATGGATGCCAAGAACACCCAAAAGTGGAGAGAGAGAAGATCAGTCAGCCTCTCCTCTGCAACAAAATCTTCCTCCTCGAACCACCACAAGTGAAAACCCTGACCTCATCAACCAAATAGAACAGCAGCATTCTTCTTCTCTTCCTCTCTTTTGACCCTCACCACAATTCTCACTGAAAATGAAAGAAAAGCACCCAACTTCTTGCTGGCTTGCCAATAATCACACAGAAACCGAAGACAATTAAACGGCTCAAACTACAAGCAACCCTTTTGCTGTCGGTTGGAAAAATGGAAATTGTGGGTTTTGTTAAGAACCAAATTTCTCAAACACCTAGCAGGCACAGAAGCATGAGAGGGAGAGAGTGACTCTAAGAGAGAGAGGGAAGGAGGGAGGGAGACAGAGATTGAAGTTGGGGACAAACCAAAACTGCCTCGGCTGGAAAGGAAGCAGAGTACAGGGGTTGGGTTGCAGCAAAAATTAATTAATGGGGGAAAGTGGCCTCCTTCTGAGTGATTCCCCTCCAAATGTGCTACCAACTGAAGAGGGGAACCACGTGCATTCTCTTTCCCTCCACAACTGTTACTCGTCGCTCTCAAAGGTTGCAGCTTTACGCTACTAAATTACGATTACTAGTCCTAATTAGCCTAAAGACTGAAGCTTCCAAGTCAAGTGGGATTAAGCGAGAAACAAAGAAGACATGAGCTTACGAGTTCCCAAGGGTTAGTCATAAAATGGCAGCTGGGGAAGAAAGGAAGGAATGGAAGGATGTCGTTGTTGTGAAGAGGGCAAATGCATTTACTCCGTTTCACCAACTGAGTCGACACCAGCTTACCATTATTATCAGGGAGAGCCATTCTAGAGACCCAATTGGAGTTCAATGCGGGGAAACTTAGCTAAAGACAGAGAGAGATTTGGGAGAGAAACCGAAAGGTAAAAGAAAACAAACAAGGAAAGAAAGAAAGAAAGAAAGAAAGAAAGAAAGTTCAATTTAGGGCGGAAAATTGAGGAGAGAATGGTAGGAGCACTTCTACTATGCTATATAGTATTGGTGCTTTAATGTACAACTTAAAGTTGTACCATAACATTAAATGTATAAGTTTAGGTTGTACCATAAAACAATTTGTACCATTATGTTATGGTACAACTTTACAACTTGAAGTTGTACCATCACATAATGGTACAAGTTCAAGTTGTACCATAAAAGAATTTGTACAAAAAGTATAGGTACAATCTGAAGTTGTACCATAACGTAAATGTACAATTTTAAGTTGTACCATAAAGGCAAAAACCTATAGCACCAATACTATATAGCATTGTAAAATTTCTCGAATGGTAGATGTCAATGGGGGTGTTCTGGTTTTGGGCTGGACCGGGGATTGCCATTAGGGTTTAGGGAAGGGTCTTGATTTTGTTTTAATCCATTTAAATTATTTGTTCAATTTCTGCTTTGCTTTTTGTCAAGGTTAAGCACTAGCACAACTATATTGTTAATGTTGGTATTAATACATTTTTTTTGATAATGGTGGTATTAATACATTTTTGCTTCCTGAAAAACGAATACAGAAGTTAAACATATGCTCGAGAATTATATCATACATTAACAATTCATTGGAGAATTATGTTATGGTTTAGTCAACGACAACAATGGATGACTAGAAAATAAATACGATAGCCATTTTGGACGTCAAAACTAGAAATTAATCTTC